ATCTCTGAAAAATCGATAGCGAGAGGTGGAGTCACGCATCGATCGATGAGAAACGGTGGCGAGCGGGGAGCGGGGAGCGGTGAGCGGGCGAACGCGTTCGCTATCGTTTTTTGAGAGATGTCAACAAACACACCATTTTGCATGCTGCCGAGTCCGGCCTTCCGCTCCTCCGTGCACTTATTGGCTCAGACGTTTTTCTGAATTCGGCCGATAATAATTACGATTTTGTAAAATTTTATATAACTTTTCTTCTCAGTTTAACCCAATCTACTATAATCTTTGGGATTGTCCATATCGAATCTGACACCCTGTATAACATGCAATGACTGACGTGCTCCAAGAGATGAGGCTCGCATCTTTTGCGAGTTCATTATTTCACTTTCGCGGCAGCTAAAGAATATACAATTGCCGTGGAACAACTAAACGGTCAGATTCAAGATTTAAGGTGCCATTTCGTAGAGTTCGGATCCCGAGTTACTGTTCATTGACACTAATGACTCTATATACTGTAATATATATACTTAGACATACCGAAGACAATCTAATACTGTGTATTGGATATATTTATTGTAAGTTTTAATTGGAAGCGTATACTCGAATAGTATCACTCGAAAAGCACCCAAAAGAATAGGGTCGGAACGTTGTGTAATAAACTAATTAAATAACTAGCCAGTTGGATTGACTATAAGTTTCCCGTCTCAATCTTTAATCATTACTGGTGACAATAAGCAAACTCTCCTTTCGTTATTATTCTAAAATAAACGACAGCCAAAGAGCCAGCGAAAATATGCTCTATGAAAAAAAAGGGTGCGAACAGCGATAGCTTTTCAACGCTGATTTGAATTGCGGTGGAGTGGGGGGTAAGACGTTAGCTTTTCTTCGCTCTACGAAATGGCATCTTTATTACTGAAGCCGCCAAGGATTGAACGCGCAAATTCGGGAAGTAAAAATCTCCGTATGCCGCCATATGCTGGACATATATTAGCGCATGTTGAGGCCTTAGATCGCATATGATGCAACTTTTCAGGCTTAACCGACCCATCTTCCCCCAACGTTCGCAGAGCGTCGTGACGCGATACGATGCCTCGCTTTAAAATTCGGATTTAAAAAAAATGGCGTTAAAATAATCCGGTTCGATGCTCCGCGAGAAACCGCGGTCGTTGTCCGAGGGCGATCGATCGCTCGTGACAGTGGCGAGATAGGCGTGTCTGTCGCTAGATAAAGAGCTAACAAAGAGATAAGATAAGCCCCCGCGCGACGTCCGCGCCGCGGTTTGAGGTTAAGAAACCTCGCGGACGAGTCCGCGGTAGACCGAGGGTCGTCCGACGCGTTCGAAAGGAGGTAGAAATCGCGGGGCTCGTCCGTTCGCGCGCGCACGTGGCCGGTCTCGTCGGCCCAGGAGTCCGGAATCGACGGACGGAGAAGCCGAGACGAAGAGATCCTCACCTCGGGGGCCTTCTCGTTCTTGTCATCTTTCTCGATCGAGATCTTCGCGGTGCTGTCCTCCTTCAGCATCCGCTCCTGCGCGTCCTGATCCAAATCCTCGCCGTTTTGCTTGCCCATGACGACTACGGCGTTGTTCTGCAGCTGGTTCGGTTGATGCGGATCGTCACCACGCTCTGCCGCACTTCCCTTTCGCGACCTGAACGTTGCAACGACTGGCGACGACGATGACGTATCCTCCGCGCCGCCGATCGAATAGCGATCCCTTCCACTTTTCATGCCGCGCGAATTACGTAACGACGGCGAGCGCGAATATTCGCTCACACTTGACCGAAAATAATCGTATTTTTAAATAACATCTATTTGCAATCGTTTGTATTTCGTATGAAGACGTTTGAAGTGCAATTGAAAACTTTTATGAGTCATTCGTTTATTTGTAATTAATTAATTAATTATTTTTCTTTCCGGCATTTGGCCGGAATAGAAACCGAACAAAGTTTTTATAGGAAATTATTTGTATTTTGTATGAAGTGTGATAAAAAGGCTTAGGAATAATTCAGATAGTTTTAATTAAATATTTATTAACTCGAAAGTTAGCCGAAATTTAATTAAAGCCCGCTGCAGATGATGCTAGTTTTCCTGCTGGATTGCTTGCAATCTAATAAATTACTATCATTGCACCACTCAGCACTCAGGATTTCTAGTAATTTAGTAAATCGCAAACAGCAGAAAAATAGCATTTGCTTGCCGGTTTGCCTGCGTACACTTTTGCTGACTGATGAGAGCCAATCAGAATACAACTCATCTCTCCTATCACGTAAAATCCTGCTTGGTTTTCACTACCGTAGTGGAAAAAATTTCTATAAATAACTACAAAAATTGACTTGAAATAGAAATTTGAAGAAATTTTTATATCTTCGTTGAAACATTAATTTTTTTGTAAAAGTATCTACGAAATAGTACCATAAATCACAATGTTCTCAAATCAAGAAATTATTGCAAGTAGTATTTGATGAAAATGTACAATTTTGTAAAAATTAGCACACAACTTTACTAGTTTTAAAAATTAGAGAAACAACAAAATCTTAAAGAATTCAAACATCTGCTGGCTTGTAGAATATTACAAAAATTAACAAAAGTGTTCCAATTCTAGCATTTTCATGTTGATTTTTATAACACTTTTTAAATTTACGTAGAATTTCTTAGATTCTGGCAGTTATATTTTATAGTTTTGTAAAATTATTTCCGACAGGGAAATAGTAGCCAGCAAAGGTGTTAAGCAAGCAATTCGGTAGAAAAAAATAGCATTAATTTATCACTGGCGAAGAAAATATCAATCATGTATATAAGAAATGCTTTCACGTCACTTAGGGCGATAATAAACATTGCTGTATGTAATAAACTCCGATATTACAAGACGGATAGTATGAAAAGTTGCGGTTATAAAATAAATTTTTATATATACAAAAAACAAAGATTAAAAATCCTGCGATCAAAAATCTATACTAATCTCCTTCAGTATTACCGAATTTTCTACGAAATGTAAAAAGAAATTATTCATATTTAATTTCTCGTAATCAATATCATATCAAATGTGTACTTGCGTTTCGTGGCATCAACCAATTCTCGTGACATAATTGACCAAACCTCGTGGGATGATTGAGACTTCGTGGCACTTTGTATAACACCTCGGTATTAATCACACGCGACAGGAAAGGAAACGCGTAAAATATACCATTGCACTGTAAATTTATCAGATGGTACGAATTTTAATCAACAGAAATCGCCGATGTATAAATTTAAATGATCGATAAGTAAATATTACAATGTAATTAAGCATGGATAAGACTAATTGATATTTCATTCATCAATTAAACGTATCGCGATGAAATTCGACTCAAAGTTCTGCATCCTGACCAGCACTTGTATGATTTCGTTCATAGAAGAAAATTTTCAAGATTATACATTTCCGTTAATAAAACGAAAAACTTAAAAATTATACATTATAACATCGACACCGTACAATAAATGCAACGAACAATAAGTTGACGGTCAATCGAGACACAATCATCCGAAAATAATTAAAAATTCAATGTCATGTATTTGCATTTATAAACTTCGTAAAAAATAATATAAACTAGTAGTATTGATAAATCACCGATAAATGCTAGTTAAAGCACTCGATTCAATATTTCGTGTATTATTTCGCGTTTTCAACCTAGAAGCAGCCAACAAATTATATTCGAAGTGATCGGACGATCGGAGAGAAGGTAACGAAATTAAATTCGAGTTACCCAAAAAAAAACTGTAACTGTAACTTCGGTACAAAGTAACGAGATACTTCCCAGGCCCTGATAAAATATATAACATGTATATATATATATATATATCTTCCATATAACGTCTGTTATATATGTTACATAGCAGCTATACAGGGTGTTCCACGAGGAAAGGTCAATATGCATCGCTCATTTTAAGCAAAAATGTTCATATGAATATCTATTCCCCACTGTTTCCGAGATAGAGCTACTTGAATGTCTCGCGTGTTCACTTAATTTTTTTTCTGTACACTTCACCTTTCATCCAATCTCATAAGTCCCAGTCTACAATAGAGATTTAAGCCCTAAGCCTTAAGAAATTGACTAATCACAGTCGCGCATTCTTCTCATACTTGACCGTGATTGGCCAATTTCTTAAAGCTTAGGGCTTAAATCATCTATTGTAGACTGGGACTAAACGTCTGCGGGAATTTATTCTTATACGTCTGTTGATTCTGTTGTGCCGATAACATTGTAGAAATGTTCAAAATGCCTCGCATATTCACAAGTATCGAATATGCAAATATGCTGTATATTTACGGTTTCTGCGATGGTAGTCCCAGGTGGCCAGCTGACGTGACTCGTCAGAAATGTAATTTTGACGTCAAAATGACGACAAGTGACGTCAGCTGGCCACCTGAGTTGCTACTGCTGCTGTTGAAGAATACCGTCGACGCTTTCCCACGCAGAATTCCGAATCGTAACATGCTTTCCAAGGTTTTCAATACATTGCGCGAAAGTGGAACGCTTCCCAGTGTTAATGTTTCATCTGAACGAGGACGTCAGCAAACTGTGCTCTATCTCGGAAACAGTAGGGAATGGAATATATTTAACATTTTTGCTTAAAATGACCGATACTATCACCTTCCAGAATATTGACATTGTAGAAATGTTTAAAACCTTTCCTGGAACACCCTGTATTTTGCTGGGAATTATATGTAATATAAACTTTCGATTACAATCACATTATGAGCTATCTCTATTTTAACAGTCAGGCGAACCTCCGTTTAAGATCGTCGATCTTTAACAGTAAATACCTCGTCGGCGCTCTCGCTCTTCTGCGTACTCGTCTCACGAGAAGATTCACACGGTGCGTATCTGCCGACGCGCGAAACAATTAAAAGAATGGCGTACGCTCGCTCGGGGAGTTCGGGCCGTAAACGCGAGAAAAAAAGCAAAGTCAGCGGAATCCACGATAACATTCGTTCGCAAGACTGTCGCAAGATTAGACCGCGAATGCGCCTATTCCCGTTTCGATTCGACTCGCTTTCCGCGATCGTAAAGCGGTAATTACTTTGATTTGAATACTTATCATATTGTTACATAAAAAGAAAGACAACGGGTACGTTCGCGGAGCGCACTATTAACGCTGAAAATGTCATCTTTGATTTTAGCTTTCAGGCTTTCGCAGTTATTATACTATAAGTAATAGCTTCCGAATAGATACCGCGTCCGTTTACAGTGGGGTGCCGACGTTTCGCAAACCTTGCAGTTTGCATCATCAGGGCAGATACCGTATCAGAGCCTCCCAGCCCTGATGATGCAAACTGCAAGGTTTGCGAAACGTCGGCACGTACCTCACTGTAAACGAACGCGGTATCTATTCGAAAGCCATCTACTGATGATGTCTTCTACCATTCTTTACTGTAACTGCATAACTTCGTTACGTAACGAAGTTGCAGTTACAGTTACTTCTTTTTGGTAACTCTAACATACTTAT